CCCCCTTGATCAGCTCATTAATCACAGCTATCAGGACCACAGGCAAATATATCTCATATGTTATTGGATGTCTCTTTTAAGTAGAACTGATTGTATCAATATTTATTTTTCAAATAGACCTTGTGATCAATGATGACCTCACAAAATGCTGTCTTTGTCATATCATAGTCTGTTGTATTGCTAAATTCCTGAGAGGATTTTGTTATAAGGCTGCATTATATATTTAAATGCTTAATTCACTATATGCTTAAATTGGCTTTATGTGTTGCACTGCATTGTGTTGTACATTATTATGAACATGAATCTGCTTAAATACAGAAAAATCTTTTCGGAAAGATTCAAGTTAAGAGTCAGAGAGCAAAGTATTTTTAACAGTCAGATGTTTATTGAGCTGTATTTTGTCGAAGCACAGTTTTCATCAGACAAGCATCATTACACAGATGTTTAACCACATACAATTCCTACACAAAATGTAAGCAGTTGGCAATGAAGACTAAGCATGTTGGTGCTGAGTATGTATGTGTTTGTGTATGTGTTGGTCTGTGTGTGCTTGAGCATGTGCGCACTAAGGTGTTTGCATAGAATGGAAAGAGCAAGAGTCCCGCCAGTTTGTTGCAAAGAACTGCATCAATCAGGCATTGGCTTCATTTTTGGAGGTCTGGCTGCACATTTGAGGAAAGAAGGAATGGAGAGGAATTTGGAATGGATCTAGGCCTGAAGTTAGGTGAGGTTAGTTACAGAAAGGGGTAGGGAGGATTTACTGCTTGTTGTAGGAAGCAACGATGGTCTCGAAGATGGCCTGGAGCTTGGCCTTGACGTCCTCGACTAAAGGTGCGACCTTGGTTCTCAGATCAGTGAGCTTCTGGGTGTCCATGCTCTGGCTATGGGCGTAGGCCTGCTTGATCTGATCATTGTATTCCTCGACGTAGGGAGTGGCAATGGTCTTCAGCTCCTCCAGACGCTCAGAGAGCTTGGCACGCACAGCATCCACAATGGGCATCATGGCGGTCTTGGTCTCCTCAATGTTTGAAGAAATCTTGGATCGCATTTCCGCCACAATGGGCTCCATCCTTGTCCTCAGGCTTTCCATTTCGGCGGCGTGCTTGGTGGAATACTCTTGGATGATGGGCTCCATCCTTGTTCGGTAGCCTTCGATGTGTCTGTCGATGATTTCTTTCAGTGCAACACGTTTGGGCTCCAGATCTATCTTCAGGCTATCAATATCAGCCATGATGGAGGCACGGATCCCAGAGGTGGTCTCACTGAGGGTGCCTACGACACCGTCGGTGACTGGGCCCACGGAAGCCTGCAGAGCCTTGATCTGAGTGAACACGCCTTCCAAGCGACTAGCCATGTCGACCCTGGAACAGAGATGGGAGAGCGGAATTTAGCTTAAGTCAAACACACACATACATGAGTAAATGGTGACTGGAAAAAAGTGACTGGGGAGAATGGGAATGAACCTGTGACATAGCCTTACTTGAGATCACTGTACTCGGTGCCATCGAGCTGGTCCAGTGCTTTGTGGGCACTGTCCTTCACCTGAACCAGGTACATATCCATGGCAGCACGGATATGCTGCAGCTGGGATGGGGCATCAGCCTGCATGGAAGCGGCATGAGAGCCTGAGAAGGAAAGGGGAGAAAAGAGATAAACATTTAGGGTGGGGAGATGAAATAGATGGCAGTCTAACCATACAGTTTTTAATATGTAAAATATTCAGTTTTAATAATTTGAGATATAATGTAAACGTAATACCCTTGTTAAGCAATACTTTACATGCAGGTTAAATATTTTCCCTTTAGTAGGAAAAAGATTAATTCAGAACTCACCGACAGCCAGCACAAGGGCGAGAGCGAGAGCAACGAATTTCATGATGGTGGTCTAGAGTAGGAAAAAAAGGCAACATGTCAAACTCACAGTTATACATGTAAAATGTGTTTCAATACAACATGTTTAAATTACACAAAGGAGCAAACAAAAACTATGTAATGATGGAAACTCAGTAAGCTTTAAATTCCCCAATTAAAACAATTGGAAGGCCAGATTAGAAGGCTTAAAAGTAAGAAAGCTTAAACACACTGTAAGAGCCACACACGGGTCCCTGAGTCCACACTAAGCATATGGCTGCCTATTAAAGGCACCTTTAATCTGGGTAGATTACGCAGGGTTATACATTTTGAGAGTTTAAACTGATTAGCAGTATTTTGTAAACTAATCCAGTCTTCACAATAAAACAGTCATTGAGCTCAAACACTATCAAAATCCCGGCACACTCAAATTGAGGAATCCTTCTCTTCCTAAAATGAGAATGCTAAAACTAACAATGTTTACTATCACTTCAAGCTAAACAGCACTATCCAAAAGTTTCAATCAATTAAATTAAAAAATCTCTTATTTAAGAGTTAAAACCAAAACATCTCTTTATACAGAGAAACCTATGTTTTTTTCGTCAAAGCCCACAGATTGCTGAAAGCTTGCAGATGAGAAAAAGTTCCCCAGCAGTCAAGTCTGACTACCTCTTCTACAGCCCAGTAAGAGCCACAGAGGCTGTTTCTCTTACCTGGAGGAGTTCTTGATGAGACTGAACAACTTGAGCCAGAGCAGACTTTTTATAGTGCCCGGATGAGGGATCGGTCTGTGTGGGGAGGAGGGGTGGGGGTGGAGGTGTGAGGCTTGTGTGTCTCCGTGGAGGTGGACCTCACCCCCCTGCCATCTCTCTCAGCAGGGGGACTGAGTAGAGAGTTCAATGGTCGCCTGCTGGGAGAAGATCACTCAGCACACACGCTGACACACAGAGTCACAGATTGGCTTTACATTATCGGTATCATAAATGTACTGTAACTTTTATTGAAGCACAAATGTTACTCAGGAACATCAGCTATCCTCTAAATGCACTAAGCCTTTCAGGGCAACAGGACATTTTACTGGTGATAATTCCAAGCTAAGCTTTTGTTTCTGCTTGACAAAGAGCTTTCACATTTGTTCTCTTGCAAAGCCACTCTTGTTGTGAGTAGGATAATAAAAGGCTGAAATAAACAAGCTAGTGTTAAGACGGAGCCATGAAGGTAGTTTAATTTGGAAAAGAATGTGAAGGGACAGGAAGGCAGGGTTTGAAAACATTGATGTAGGAAACAAGAATAAAATGAATGTAAAGGTGTCCCTCAGGGGACTATACATGATCCTATTTTTTTGTTTTTGTTTACATTTGTGTAGTACAACTTCATACAACAGTTTTTTTTTGCATACCATTTGTTGCAGAAGAGTTTATAAGAGAACACATCCAAATGATTGACTGTTCCAGTGCTGTCATAGGCCTGCCAAGTGAAACAAACAAGAGCAAACAGAAACACTGCTATCAACTCTGAAATGTAATCACATTCAGTCTGCAGTCCTTTAATTGTGAATGAAAAATATGCATGCAAACATACATTTACCAAGACCTATACAATACTACGTAACCGTGCACCAATCAATTGAGAAAAATGTCTCATGCAGGCTTATCTCATTTTGACGGATAACAACGTTTGTGACTGGTAAGTGAGTGCGATGATTAATAGGTCAAAGGTTGGTGAGTGCCATGCTGTTTGTTGTCCTATCACCAGTGGACTTTGCCACCATGGCTTTGTGAAATTTGAGAAATAGAAATTACCATAGTATACAAAGTTACCTCCAATAATACATATATTGGATATACCATAGGTGCTATAATGTATTCTGTCACACAACCCTTAAATCCCTTAAAAGGTCAAAGTCTATTCGTTTGAAATTTGCAGTAGGAAAGAGATTAACCATACCCATTTTAGAAATACAATTGTGCAAATTCCTATTAAAACAGAGAGCGTGACATAATGTATGCATTTTTAGTCATGCTTGTTCATTTTTGTGCTAAAGAAATCATTTTTCAAAAAGGCCAAAGGTGCAGGGTTATTGGGTGCAAGGTTAATCATTGTGATTGTTAGTGATAACCACCGTAAACCCAAAAGACCCTGTGTTTCTTGCATAATGTGCAGTATTGTAGTTACAGTAGGATAATCAATGCACGCTTTTCTCTGAACACCTTCACTCGGAAAATCGTGCACTGTCAATACTTGCTCAAAGCGATTTCAACATTTAAAGTTCATATATTGTGCAACATGAAGCAAAACAAGGCAGCAAACATCTCAATCCTATTCAGTAGAAGTTGGAGATAATGCTTTTGATCTCAGAAGCAACACTTACAACTTATTTTAACAGAACCAAATAACGAATGCAATTAAAAAATCTTTATTCTGGCTGATTTGTTGCCTCAAAATACCAAAAAGTAAACCTACATGGTGGATCAAATTGTTAGCAAAAGGTTAACTACTATCTTTCACAGTCTCAACACAATTCCTTTACTGCATTCATTGAACAGCTGTTTGGTCTAATTGCATACATTTGTGTCAGGGTTTGTAATGTTTATGAGTGTAAATCACAAGACAAATTTCTATATTACATTTATGATGGTTTCAATGCGTGTCTGACGCATAGACCAAATCACCTTTACCCCTCTTTGTCTTTCTCTACTTCCATTTGCCTTTGTTATTTATCATTTGACACAGGGGTGGCAATCTTGACCCTCACCCCCTGACTACAACACAATGTTTATAGACAGGAGACAAGCAAAGCTGGATGAGGCTTCAATGACAGAGGGGTGACAACACTATCAGCTATACAAGAATCAGAATCAGAATCAGAATACCTTTATTAGTCCCACAGAGGGGACATTTGTAGCGTTACAGCAGGAAAGAGCCGCAGACAGCTTAGTGTTGCATATCTTACATGCGTTAAAAAAAGTACTGAGTTATAATATAATAAACAAACAACACAACAATATGCTAAAAAAAGTACTAAGTTATAATATAATAAACAATAAACAATATGCTAAAAAAAAAAGATAAAAAGTTACATAATTTTCAAAAATATAGATCAAAAATAAATCAAATCTACAAATCCTGTAGCAGTTCTTAGGATTTAGCAGCCCGGTATATATTACAGTTATTAAAGCCACCTCAAGGTTCAGATTGTCGTTATCAATTTGTCAAATGTAAGGAAATAACCATTAATTGCTATATCTGAATTCACGAGTGCTTTATTTAGCCAGGCAAACTGCAACAGACAAGCAAGAAAAAACAATGGTTTTGAACCAATGGTGGGCGTAAACAAGAAACCTGAAGGTGCTTTCTCTGACTTTGAGAAATAGTGATGGGCATAATTCAGTATTTTATCATTTGTTTTCTGACTAAACCATTTAACAAATGTGAAATAGGCCTTGACAGAATAATTAACCTTATCTAGAACCACAACCTTTGAGACTGATACGTCAGCATCCACACAGAAAATTCTAGATAACTGCGGTTGTAATTGTTATCAATACAAACTAAGAACACCTAACTGGCAAGACAACTGCTAAGGTTGCATGTTCCCTGATACTCAAGCGACTAAGCATCTTTTTATTATGGTGAGCGTCACTAACATTTAAACAGGCAAAAAGAAAGCAAAGCTGTTGATCCTGGGGATCCTAAAGATTCAGGACAGTTGCAAACTGCTTAAGGGAAGTTAATCGGAGTTAGAACGTGGAATGGACTTCACCCAGACCTTTCAAGTACTACAAGTCATCAACAATTCAAAACTAAAGTAAAAACAATTATATTTGCAGATTACTCCAGCTAACAGGTATTGGATATTCCCAGTATTGCTTATATATGTATTCGCTTTTTTCTTGCTCTAATCTTTTTTTTTTTTATTCTTTTTTTTTTCAGTTTTCATTGGTTTTCTTGGTTTCTTTGTACTCCTTAATTTCTATAAGTTTTTGATGAAATAAATGCCATTATTATTATATTGATGCTAATGATGATGCACTGGAGGGCTACTCCCCATAGCTATGCTTCAGCCCTCCCGCTTCTACTAATTTTGTTCATTTGTGTGTACGAATTATACGTTTTTGTTTTTGTATGATTTCAGTAGAATAAATTAAAAAAAGAAAGAAAGTTCTTCACTGACAACTAGTTTGTGTCACAATCATAATGATCTCAATAGCAACAGTTACATAAATCTAAATGATATTCTAACATGTGATAGGATTTTGTGACACTTTACTAAAAAAAGGGAACTTCTTTGATGCTGATAAACAACCAGTTTAACAGTGACCATCAACAACCAGACAGATGTGGAGTAATTGCCTGAAGCTGATAAATATTTAATCAGAAAATCACTTGATCAGGCCCTGGCTGAGGTTCAAAGGTCACGTCATTGTTCCAGCTGCCTCCATGATGGAGCACTGCTCTCAAACCAGCAGGGGAGGTTATCTCAGCTGCGAGCAACAGTGCGGAGCTCTCTCTCATCTTCTTCAAGATTTCAGAAAGCTATATCCAAGTCTTCTTGAGTGTATTGAGGTGGTTTTGCAATGTCACATCTGTTGAGGTCGGTTTAATACAGATATTTTGACCGGAGACCTGGTTGCAGAGTGTCACTGCAGGTTGTATCGCTCAGCGGGTTGTACAGCGGGACATCAAGAAAATCCACCCTGAACTCAGATAACCTAAACATTAGAGGAACAAAAGAATAAGGTGCCGTGCATCTGTATCCAGTACAGTCACTAAGGGATATTGTTTAATTAAATCAAAAATACTGACAAACCCTCACGTTATCAGAGAGTAATGAGGACAAACTTGGGCTACTTATTTGCCAACAAACATACAGTGAGTTGTTGCTCTGATAGGGAACATTATCTTCTGCCTTTATGATCCTGTGTGGCAATTTGCTGCTTTTTAAGATAATGCACTGTAGTTAAAGTGCAGAGTTAAACGTTAGGCCCTGCTGACGTGATAGGAACATGTGACACACCTCTGAAAGCTCTTGCAACAGCAAATCCAATAATAATCTGTTTTCGGTGCAGAGTCTTTAAATGATCAACATATTAATTGAAAGTGTAATGATTACTACAGTTTGAAAAACATTCTGCATTATGTTCCTTCAAAAAGGAAACTGCCAGAAAAGGCCCTGTTCCCCGCTAAATGTATTATTCTGTAGAGATACAGATACTTATATATTAATACTAGATAGTACAGATTTATATTTTACTAGAAACAAATTGCTATCGTAAGGCACCTTAATCTTCACATGTATTTTTTCAGTAGACTTAACTGTTCAAAGCATTTTTTTAACAATTAAAATCCTAAAGGCACTAGTTTGAGTATTTTAAAGGTTTGAGGACTATTACATACATTGTTTAATACTTTTGAAAAACGAATGGAACCCATTAATTAGGAGGGAAAGAATTTGAACACAATTACTTGGTTTCATTGCTTTTCTCAATTTATAACTATCCACTCTTAATATAACTGGAGGCTGTGGCTCAGTGGATAGTGTGATGTACTTCGAATCAGGGGATAGCAAGTTCGAGTCCCACTGCAGTCAGCATGTCGTTGTGTCCCTGGGCAAGACACTTCACCCCAAATTGCTTCTGTGGGGATTGTCCACAGTATTGAATGTATGGAAGTCGCTTCGGATAAAAGCGTCTAACAAATGACATGTAATGTAATATAACCAGGAGCATTGAAAAAGAACAATGAATACAAATTGAAATAGAGATGTAACTACCTAAACAAAAGAACAATGATTTGAAATTTTAACATTTAAAAAGGTTAACTTCATGCCTACTAAAACAAACACTTTAGGTCATGATACATGTTTGAAGTGCTAAGAGCAAAATGCACACTGCAATCCCACATTAGGACTGTGTAATGTTTTGTGTGGTGCGTAGGTGTTGAACATCTGAGTTTCAAGGCCTGTTTGTAATGGGAGAGCTACCATTGCCCAAGATGTAGAGGCCATTCACCCGTTTACCAGAACCAGACCGCCCACTCAAGACAAATATAGTTGAAGTGATTTCACTTTTCTGAACCCGTGCATGTCAAGGATTCTGGATCACTATTTCGTATTAATCATTATTTGTATCTGTTTTTAATTCGTTCTTATTATTTTTGTAATACTTTTTACCAGAAGGAAGCATGTCTAAAAGAACCCAATATGTTAGAGGGGAGATAATATAAATGTTTGGCATGAGGATAATTGAAAATAAAAAATAAAAAATCCTGCCAATCACTTCATGTATAAAAAAAACATAAACACAAGCTGCTTTTTAAAAGGTGGTGTTCCACAACAATACATTTAGCAATAATTATATTTTGCAACGATGTTTGCAATATTTCTTATAATTTATAAGTGTAGATTTAACAATACAAAAATAAGTTGTTAAAAAGGTGAAACAACTTGCTGTATGATTGGCACTACATTAGCCCTGAGAATTACTTGTATTTACCAAATGTAGTGAAACACCCCAGCTTCTATGTCAGAGAGGTTGACTAGAGACATACTTGTCACTAGAATCATTCATGTTGCATCTGTCCTCCCCTCGCCAGCTCTCTTTCTGGGTAAAGAGACTAGGACGGTCATACTATTTATTTATTTTTATTTGCAAAATATAGGTGAGCAGACAACAATAGATTGCATGAGAAGATGTGACAACAATCTGATATCACTCCCTGACTCCGGGATGGGACAAAGGCATTCTTTAGCAACACAGTGTTAATGCAGCCCCCAGCTGTGCATGAGGGGCTTTAGGACAGAAGGTGCCCTTTTGCCACACCACAGGGATCCTTCCAAGTAAAGACACATGCGAAACAGATCACCTTTTCGCTTTGTAAAAATAATCTCACTCCCACTGAGCTGTTTTACACACATTTTAAAAGGATATTTGAATTTCAAGTCACAATTAAGACGCTATAGTGCTAATTCGGTTTTATATTTGCATTTTAAGAAAAACTCTCTTCTCCAAACGGATTAGCTACATCTCTATGGAGCTCAGCATGTCAACTAAACTCTGATATTTTCAGTGACAGTTTAAGAAAATGGCCGTGGTTTCTAAACAAAACAGTAAATGCTTCATCTTTACTTCAATGTGCCTCCTGAGGGAGACATGACAACAAAACTAGCTGCTGCATTCAAAATTATTTGAAGATATTTCAATAACAAGTCATACATGCTTATTTAAGGCAAAGATGACTAAAGCATACTTCCCCTATCAAAAGAACAAGATGACAGTACTGCTCAGCATAAAGGTGCTTCTTCAGTCCTAAACCACAAGAAATAAAAGGAGGATGAATACAGTAGCCATGACGCTAAGAGAACTTAAAAACCTTTGAGAAAAGCTAAAAGATAAATAAAGTTGAAATGTAGTGACTGTATTGATAAAACATTGTACAGCAATTGATGCTTTCAGGTGCAATGCAAAATAGTACGCGCATTCATAGGCTATGTATTCAATCATGTATTCATGTAATATTGACTTGACTAAATGTTACATCTGAATTTTGTGCTCATATTGGAAAGTTATGTTAACAGTCATGTGGTCTTTTCCCTCAAGTCAAGTTTAATTAAAGTAACTTCTGTGCTATTTGTGCTATATATATATATATATATATATATTGCACAAATAGCAATAGCTATATATATGCCGTTAATAACTGCAATATACACCTGGCTACTAAATCCCAAGAACTGTTACAGGATGTGTATTTTGTAAATTGTGTAACTTTTTAATTTATTATAATATAACTGTAATACTTTTGTATGCATGTAACATATGTAACATATATAACATTAAGCTATGTTTGGCTCATTTTCTGCTGTAACAACGTACATTCCCCCTCTGTGGGAATAATAAAGGTATTCTGATTCTGATTCTGAACACATTTAATTGCTTATCCAAAAAGTTAAGAAAGCATGAAACGGTCACTATGTTGACGAACAATGAATTTACGAGGGCACTTGAACGCCTCATGTGGCTCAGCCAGTCAGAGACGTGCCTCCATCGTCAACAGGAAGCGGGGGAAGCGTCCTTGGAGATGTTGTTGTTAGTGCTGTAACTTTAGCATCTTATGCCCCTATGCGTTCACAATGTCTTCGTTAAACAACTGAAAACAAGTCGCTATTGCCACAGAGGCTCATAAGAAACCGATTAAAAAGTTTGGAAGGTAAATCACCTTGGATGAAAAAGCTTTTCTCTAACTACTTAGCTGGATGAGCTAATGTTAGCTAGTTGAAGTTAGCTGAGATGCTTAATTAGCTTATCGAATTTCCCCCGCATTACTGTCCTTAAAATGATTTCACGTCGATGTTGTTTTGTTTATAGAGATGCGAATGTGTCTGACTATTGTTTATCACAGGCTTAGGACTTAATACTAATCCCTTGCCTTTCTTTGTAGAACAATATAGCTTGCTAGATTCATTGCTAATATTATTATTAATGCTACTTCTAGGTAGTCCATCCATTACTGCAACATGAATCTAACGGAACTATGGTCAATAATCATTTTACAAATTGTATACACCACACTTCATTTTACAGTGCTAGACTTATTTTATTTGATAAATACTGCTGCTAGTTACTGTCCACTTGAATGTGTCCTTTTGTAAATTGTATATTTTTCTATTTAAAATACTATTTGCATGCATTTTTATATAATAGTGTTGTTTTTTCTTCGTCTCTATATATACTTTGCTGTACCAACATACATTTCCACTATGTGGGACGAATAAAGGAATTCTGATTCTGATCATGAATGAATAAATGTGCTAATCTTGATAGCAAAGCATAATAGAAAGACAGAATATTGTCGCAGGGCGTCTTTTGAACAGCACAATGATGATCTGAGCCTTTATAGCCACAGTATTATGTACAGTATGTCTCCCTTTTCCTGTACCATTCACCCTGTTGTGTATTTCTCTGCAGTAGCCATGACTGCAGCTGCTCTCATCGGAGACCAGCTGATCCTTGAAGAGGACTATGATGATAATTATACACCTTCTGAACAAGGTACACAGTGGTGAGGGTACTATCTCGGGGATGCATGTCCTTTAAGATGTCATAATGATTGACTCACTGTGTCTAGATTAGCTTTACCACAGATACTGTGCTACAATAAAACAGGAAAAGGGCGAAGATCATATATACCAAACAACAAGTACCCAGGAATGTTTTACACTGATTATTGATATTGATTATTGATTAAAGAGACACTTCCTGCCTGCAACAAAATGAAAAATATGCTGTCTATTGCTACTTTTTTCAAACTACTTATTTATTCAATATCTACATTTTGAGTTTCATCCCCTCGTAAAAAAAATAAAAGAATAGTTACAAAGTGCATTACAAGATAAAAATACAAATAATAGACAAGCAATCATAAAACTTATACAACATTGTGGAGGGACTTTGAATGAGAAAAAGTTAAAAACAACAATATTAAATAGTTTCACGTATAAAATAAAAGTTAAGATAATGACTTGCTTTAATGAGCTGTTAAACCTACTAAATGCTCTATAATATCTACTTTTACATTCATCTTGTCTCATATCACTCTTTCTCCTCACTCTTTCCTCAGAGATCCATGAGTACGCAAGAGAGATTGGCATTGATCCTGAAAGGGAGTCGGAGCTCCTGTGGCTGGCCAGGGAAGGCATTGTCGCCCCTCTCCCCCCCGAGTGGAAGCCTTGGTGAGAGAGGGGAGAGTTACTGGATAGTGGGGCCAGAGCAGCATGAAAACATTACATTATTAAAACAACCATATTCAGACATCATATCTGGTGCGGAGCCTGTAGTGTTACTCTTAATCTAAATTAGAGTTAGATAGATAGAATTGGAGGGATGAAACCCTCTTTAATGGTCACACATGCAGAGCACACAGACATTTGTTCTCTGCATTTAACCCATCCTACTACCAGGAGTCTAGTGGGCAGGTATTGTACAGCGCCCGGGGAGCAATGGGAGTGGGGG